ACTCCCACGGCTTCAACTACCATCTCTATGCTGATGACACTCAAATTTACCTCTCCACCCCTCACCTCACCTCACCTCCACTTTCTCCGCCCGCATCACTCACCTCCTAAACGACATCTCTGACTGGATGTCGCTCCATTTCCTCAAACTCAACCTCTCCAAAACCGAGCTTCTCGTCTTCCCTCCTGCCCCGCCCCCCCCCCTTCCCATCCTATCCATCACTACTAACATCACCACCATCAATCCCGCCCCGCAAGCCAAAGTCCTTGGAGTCATTCTGGACTCTAACCTCTCCTTCCAACCTCATGTCAAATCACTCACAAACACATGCAGACTCCACCTCCGCAATATCGCCAAAATACGCTCCTTCCTTACCCCAGACACCACTAAACTACTCGTACACTCCCTGATTATCTCACGCCTTGACTACTGCAACTCCCCCTCCTCACCGGCCTACCCCAGTGCAGGCTCTCCCCGCTTCAGACCATCCTCAACTCAGCGGCTAGACTCATCCACCTCACCACCCGCTCTACCTCTGCCACCCCCCCTCTGCCTCTCCCTCCACTGGCTCCCTATCGCCCAACGCATCAAATTCAAACTACTCACTCTGACCTACAAAGCCATTCACAACACTGCCCCTAACTACCTCACCAACCTGATTCCCAAGTACCACCCTACCCGTACCCTTCGCTCTTCACAGGACCTCCTTCTATCTTGCTCCCTGGTCTCCTCCTCACATGCACGTCTGCAAGACTTCTCCAGGTCCTCCCCCATCCTCTGGAACTCACTACCCCAATCCATCAGACTGTCACCTTCCCTCCTCACCTTCAGGCGCTCCCTGAAAACCCACCTCTTCAGGGAAGCCTACCCCACCCTCACCTAACTGCTGCTCTCCTTCATTCCTCCTACCACTCCATCCCCCACAGCCACTTCCTCCTGTACCACTACCCCCTCCCTCCTAGATTGTAAGCTCGAAAGAGTAGGGCCCTATAACCCCTCGTGTGCTGTTTGTAGTTGCTGTAATGTTTCATGTATTGTCCCCCCCTCTATTGTACAGCGCTGAGCAAACCCTTTGGTGCTATATAAACTCAATGTAATGTAATGTAATGTAATAAGGGCCAGCGCTCCTACTTCACAAAGATTGCAGGACTACGTTTGGGAATGATGAACAATAATGCATCTTTTTTACCAGTTTCCAACCATGTTACATGACTATATATTGCAAGAATTATATTATAGTTGTATATGTTGTAAGCTTTAACAAGCAGGGCCCTCTGATTCCTCCAGTATTGAATTGTATTGTAACTGTACTGTGTGCCCTCACATTGTAAAGCACTGTACAAACTGTCAGCGCTATATAAACCCTGAATAATAATAATTCATCTTTAGCATTTTTATGGTGATTTCATACATTGCATATATTTATTTATTTCATTTGTTAAGGTTTTGGTATTGTCATCTCAGCTACATCTCACTGTTCATTAGCACAGTCAGTATTTCATTATTATCGTGGTAAGGGAGAGTTTCTTTACAATCCTTGCATATGTTGGGTATCCAGACATTTTGGTGTGTGAAACATCTCACTGTTTTCACTTACAATTTGTTCACACCCAGAGCAAGAATGTTTTTTTCTCAATATGACTATATATTGCATAGCTTCCATTAAATTATACAGTCCACTAATTAAAAGTCTGTGAAGAAAGAGGAAATTGTGTGTTATTTGAGCAGTGAGCAGCTTATGACTCCTCTCAGCAGCACCTGCTCTCCTCCCTCCACAGTTCTGCTGGGATTACTCACAAGAATCTTGAGGTGGCTAGAAAAAGGCAAAAGTAAGAAAAAAATAATACAAAGACTTAAAATGTTGAACATCAATGCTGCTCTCACTCATGTTTCCAACATAAAGTGGTTGTAAGGGCTCAAGTTTTTTTTACCTTCATGCATTCTAAGAATGAATCTTAAAAAACTTCTGTGTGTAGCAGCCCCCCCCAACCCCCCATAATACTTAACTGAGCCCCTTCTCAACCCAGCAATGTGCAGGAGAGCCTTGGCTGTCTCCCTCCTGATTGGCTGAGACAGTAGAGGGAGCCATTGGCTCTTGCTATGGTCAATTAGAGTCAGTGAACCAATGTGGGGAGAGTGAGGAGCAGGGCAGAGGGGCATCTGTGTGTGAATGGACGCAAAGAGCAGTGACTCAGAAGCGAGCCTGCCCAGGTGCCCCCATAGCAAGCTGCTTGCTCTGGGGCACTTGGCAGGGGGGAGGGGCCAGGAGTTCCGGCAGGGGACCCAAGAAGAGGAGGATTGATGCTTCTCTGTGCAAAACCGCAGGTAAGTATAATATTTGTTATAAAAAAAAAATCTGTTTTTACAAACGCTTTAAGCACTGGCCAAGGAGTGCCTTATGGTGAGTAAAGCACTGCTGCAGCATAGAACATAGCATGGAAAATGGAAGGAAAGAGCAAGTTGCAGTGAGCAAAGATAGATAATGATAGACATGGTCTTTGTAGGTACTTGGAGGGGGGAGAACCTGACCATATTGCTACCCATAGACACAATCTGACCCTATTCTGCTTGATCAGGTGACAAACATATGCCTTTGGAGATGACCATTAGTTGATTTTTCTTTGGGAAAACAGCTTTGCATGTTTGAGGGAACTTGGCCAATCCCCAGTCAGGAGAATGGGCATGGTGACCAAGGACAGTCCCTAAATGTGGAAGAGCCTGAGCAACAGAGGAGTCGGGTGAACGATGGAATGAGGGAAGGTGCTGGAGTGTGGAGCCTGGGAGGGGGCCCCAGGGAGGGGAGCCTACTTACAGGCTGGTTACTGGATAGGAGGATCTTCACTGTTTTACCATCTTTTAGGGAGGACATCTTGAGCAGCAGGGAGGAAGCCAACCCAGTGAAATGCCTGAAAGCAGCTCCTACACCCCCTGGGCCAGATAAAGGGAGAGGGCAGTCAGATACAATACCCAACTAGTTCTCATCCAGGACTACTTTGTTGTTAGATCTTGGAATCCCTTGCTCAGGGATACCCTCAGTGCAGCCAGGTGAAGAGAAGGGATTCATCTGGGGTTTGAGGAGGTACACCAAGGGGACTTTAGTGCTTCCTAAAGAGACAGTGCTATTTGCTATATTCGGATATATACTTTTTGTACAGTGTACAGGTTGCTGGGAAGTTTATCCTCAAGTTTACAGTTCCTTGGTTATCCCATATACTCGTAGACCCTATCCAAGTTGTTAACCCCTTAATAAAAGCAAGTGTGCAAATGTTTATGTACATTCCAGGTGACCATGTTGTCAGAGAATGGTAAGCTCATGCCTATACGTCCATCCACCCTACACAGGTCCCTACATAAGTGGCTACCATAAGCTCTGTATCATGGTCCATGTCAGGTCTTATACCCCATTAAAAATGTTTTCTGTTTTACAGTAGGGTATAATTACCTTGTTGGATCCCTTTTAAGTAAGTATGGTATGGGAACATCTGCAGCTCTATAGCAAATATCTGTAGTTTAATTGAACTCATGGGTGATATACACTACAGAGGATGAATTTCTATTGTTCATGTACTTTTACGGTCCCTTCTCTTACTGCTATTATTGATTTGGTAAATGTTCTTTTGATTACATGCCCTCTTGTTGTGTAATTGTGTTTTCTCAGGGGGAATTATACTGTCAGCTGATAACCTAGTTTTCCCTGAGTGCCAGTAATACTTGAATCCATTTTTGAACTTTATTTCCCACTCCACGTTATCACAGTGAGCACTGCACATCTAGCTGAAAGAGAGCTTATGATTTTAAGATCCACGGAGACATTACAAGATAGTCTGAAGATCCAAAAGATTGATTGCTAGTATGTATAAAATATAGGAATGATCATAACAGGCTTTATCAATTGAGTGAAGGAAAGATGGTTGACCTTGTGGGATATTTCTCTGAATGTCTGATTGGTAGTATTGTATGTTTACCCATGACTGTCTTTTAATAAGGAACAATCTTTCTGGTGATATTCACATGTAACACATAAGACTCTCATGACTGTAACAGGAGGTAAGGATTTTTTTGGTGGATGCACACTTGACCTCCTGCATCCCACCAATCCTTATCAGGGGATGGGGGTCTTGCTTCATGTATTATTGCCAAACTTATGAGTTCTTTTATGACCACAAGCTACAGGGCTTCACTTTCCATTCCTGGGTTCACTAACCAGGGCCTCTTCTCAATCTTGAGGGAGCATCTTATCAATCTCCTATCAACAATCCTTTGCTGGAAGACCTTTTCAGCAGTAGACATAACCCACCTCATGTGAAAACTTAGCTGGCTACTAGAACCTTGTAGACATGATGAGAATATCGGACGAATGATCATCTATTTTTTTTACATGCTAGTCTCATATTGAAAATGAAGAGGTTACAAAAGTGAAAATTCTCGTACGACAGAATGCAACTTCATAAATGATGTAATGTATTGTATTGTAATGTATTCTTTCATTTATGAGCATGTGTGGTCTTCTGATTTTTCTCGGACGAATACTGTACTGATTAAATGAAAATCATACATTCTAGTATTGTACTAGAAACATTTTTGTGTTTGTCCCTTCAGATAATGAACTGTCGTGATCGACTCTTGAAAGCTGTATAATAACAATCATATTTTTGGATGATTGTTTTTGAAAGCAGTATTTTTCTGCCGATTTTCTGATCGTGTATGCTACGCATAAACTAACCACAGACAATCCAGTCTCCCATTCTTCACTTACATTTACTTCTTCTATTGAGACTTCTGCTTCTGACAATAATTTGAGGCTCACACCCTGGAATTACTTGGATTCTGAACTTAAATTTCACTTAGCATTATCAACTGTCCAGTTACTTAGCTTGGGAGCAAAACCTACTAAAGTGTTTGTACAATTTCCATCTACATAGCAATTATTCCTTTCAAAATCAAATTAAAATGCAAAGGAGCACTTAGATCTCACATGGTACCAGGGGTGGACTGACAACTCATGGGGCCCCCAGGCAATAGGGGATCATGGGGCCCCTGTGTCCTTGCCCAAACTCAAAAAAGCCTATGAAAAAGGTACCGGGCATCTCATGGGGCCCCCTACTGACCCCGGGCCCTCGGGCAGTGCCCGAGTTTCCAAATGGTCAGTCCTCCCCTGCATGGTACTCCTCATGGGTAGGCTATGTGTTAGGGATCAAATGGACTGAGGTGTTTGTGTTTGGGCTAGCTGTTGTCAAAGAGCCTTTTGGCTAAGATCAAGTGAAGTATTTGTTCTTATCAATGTCCAGTGGGGGTGCTCCACCATCATTCCTGCTTGTTTGGTTGTATAGTACTCCTGCTGGAAGGATTGGGGTCCTGATGGTTAATACAGGCCGGAACAGAAACCGAGGTGCCCACAGGCAGTTGGGGCCCGGGAGTAATTCCCCCCAGGGACGCCAGAGGGGCCCAGTTCCTCCTGGTTTGAACGGATCTACCTTGTCTGGCCAGGGGCCGGGGGAGGCAGAGAGTCCACAGAACAGTGCCCCTGAGTGGTCGCCTCAGGGGTGCTCTTAGTAACATATGGGGATGGGATCCCAAGTGTGAAACGTGCAAATGGTCACTGATCCAAAACACTTTTTCTGCACTGTGCTTTTTAAGGCCAGGCCTTTTGGCTAAGTCCAGGGCAATTTTTATGCTACAGGCCTCAGGGCCTAACCAGTGCACAATTGCACGGCCACTTTTTTATTTTTACTTATTTATTTAATTTATTTTTTCTCCCACGTTTGTTTCACTTTCACTTATGTGTGTGTGTTTTTTTTCTCACGGATGGTAGGGTGTGGGTCCTCGGGCCTACCCTGAAGTCTAGGGGGAGGATGTGTGGCCTTTTGGTTCCTTCCTCCCCTGTCCTTAGGGGGTCTCTCTTCGGGAGAGCCCCCTGATCTAGTACTTGGTGGCTGGCTTAGGCTAGTCACAAAGAAAGGGGTCCACCAGGCCTTTTGGCTAGGAGGACCACATGGGAACCTTAGTCCCTGTCAGGATCAGGGTAGATATCCTATCCTACCCCTTCGGGGGGGTGGACAAAGCACACCCCTAAGTGCACTTTTTTGTGTTGGTTTTGCACTAGCACGACTTCAAAAATAAAAAAAAAAAAGCTGTTGTCAAAGAGCACCAGATCACATGAAAACACAAAAGGGACACCTAGAGCTCACATCTTGCTCCTCAAGGGTTGTCCAATTGCTTGGATATCTGACCGACATAGCTACTGGGGTCAGACTTTACCACGGAAGAAGATGCAACACTTCATGCACTCCAACACACCACTGAACTACTACAACCTATGAGCAGCCTCCTTTGTTGCCTTCGTCTGGGCTGCAAACTTCTAAATGGCCAGGAGACATTTAAAGCATACAGTAGTCTCCTCACAAGCACTTACACCAATCAGCCCCAAAGTGCCCTTAGAACTCTCCAGACACCTCTTAGCAAAGCTAAGGTATGTTAACCCCTCTTTCTCTTAGCTCCTCATTACACATACATGAAAGGACCTGAATTTTACAGTCTGCATTTACTTATCTATTATAGCCTTGCCATGTCTATGTACCCCTGAGTAATTCCAGCAATAGGGTTTGCAGGGTATACGGAATGAGTTGCAAGACATTCTGTAGCTGAAATAGGATGTAGCCATCTTCCTATTCTTTTAAAACTCGTAATTGGTGGCCTATTCAGTCTAAAGATAGCTCTGAATAGACAGCACCTAGAACCTTACACAGATTACATCTCCGAGGGACTTCAGTAATGAGACCTTCCTGCCTGAATACCCAGCTCTGCTCCTCCAACTTTTGTATTCTTCATAAATAAAATACAGAAAGAAAAAGAGGCCTCCTCTTAATGGCTGCCACAAGCAGGTAGAACAGTGAACTCAAGTTCACAAATTTCATAGCTGGAGACACATAAAAAAACAAAGTCAACGATTCCACTCACTGGCAAGTTTAAAACCTAAAGCTGAGGTTTATTCTGCTTATATTTTGCTTTTTGGGTTTCTCTTTTTCTCCCTCATCAACATGCTAATAACATTTTTAAATAAAACATTTCTGTTGTTATTACATACACTACATTTTATTGATGTAGCCAGTGGGTCTGTTCTTCTCTATGCAATGCAGGCAGATAACGGCTGGTGGGAGGGACTCTCAGGGTTCTCTACATAGCTTCCTAAAAATATCACTGCTCCCTGTCTCGGTAATGCTCCTAAGAGCCTTTAGGTAAGGCTGGAGTTCAGCTTTGGCAGCCAAAACTTTTTTTTTGTTTTGGATAAAGTAGGAAATTTTTACAGCCGTTTTAAACACTCCTAAATGTAAAAATTGTGACTAAGATCAGACTCAAGGTGCCAGCTATCAATTTTGTTAGCTAAATAAAAACTCAGCTTTTAGTCAGGTGCAGTCTGTGTTCTCCACTGCAGGTGGCGCTCAATCTCAGCAGCAGTGCAGATGGGAGAGGAAGTTGAGGGAAACTGGGTTTCTCTATGAATTCCTTTGCCACACAGGCAGTGATCAAGTTGGGTGATCTCGACCCCGTGACCCTGGTTGCCATCTTGGGTCAAACAGAGTTTATTTAAGACTCTGACCCCAGATTTGTGTGCGCTTTATGACACTTTACCTGTCTAGAAGGGACAGCACTAGTGGTAGGGAGGGTTCAGGAGGAGTAGGGAGAGAGCAGGGACTACATTTACCTTCCCAAAAAGCTTCCCCTTTAGGTTGGATCTGCTTCTCGAGGTAGAAGCTATTGGCAACTCTGAGTTTACATAACGTTGCCTATACACTGTACAGTTGTAAGTGTCCCCAGTTGGCTGAGCCTCCCCACTAGGTTTGTTTGTACCATTGAATGATTTCTACAATGCATTGTTTTTGTAAAGTGTGCTCACTGCCTGCCACACCAATCTGCACCTATCCAACAAGCTTCCTAGACTTTGGTGCTAAGTCCCACCCCTGAGGCTAAGACCCACCCCCATGACTTCCATCCGTCGGATGACCTTTGTAAGCAATAAGTGCATTTTCATTAAAAAAAATTAGCTATTGGTTGGAAAAGGCAGCTTAGTACAGGGGGCAGATGGTCAATGAAGGCAAAAGACACACTGCTGTGTTGGAGTTGCCCGCCCACCACCATGCAGAAAAATGTGAACACCAGATTGGGCTCATTTAAAGCAACATACAGCATTAAAAGCTTCACTTTGCTAAATGTGGAATTCTTATCTCCTATTATCAGGATGCTCCTTGGATAAATCTACAAGGTAGTACAAGAAAAGTGTACGATAACATGGTAAGATAATGAGAGAGGCCGACATTTTTTCTTTTTACGAAACTGTCTGTAATACAAAAGCAATTTCATGATTTAGGCGTCTTCTTAAGCAGCACCTCAAAGCCTCATTCTGATCTTCCATCCCAAATACCAACGTTCCCCAGAGCTCAAACAGACCTGCCATTTCCGCCCACACTGTCAGTGCTGGTCCGTGCGATAGCAGAATGAAAGACACAGACCTAGTTGAGCACAGAAAATTGTTAGCAAGAGAGACAATAAACGACTTATTAAATTACTGGCTGTGCACTTGCAGCAAGAATGTTGTATAATGACCAAATCCAATTACCCGATTGGATTTTCAATGTGTGCATAAATCTGTTTTTGAGGCTGGCATACCATTCTACCCAAAGGTTGCAGAAGACACCATATAACTAAAGAGCAGTCTACCCATTGGTGGAAGCCTACCTATGAATTTTGAGGAATAGTCAGATACAGTGGTCTCCTTCTATAGCAGAGTTATTTATTCTACCATAGATTTGTGGGGAAATGTCAAGTTTGTAGCTAAGCAGCTGTAAAGGGAAAACTGTTATGACAGTTTATCTTCTGCCAAAAAATTGTTTATGTGAGTCAGTTATTGCTAATTTGCATAGCCACTGTCACCACACTCATTACAGTACGTAGCTGATATGTTCTGATTGTTGGCTCCAAGCTGTAAAGACAATACTAATTCATGTCCCCTCCAGCTTCTTGCCAGGGTGATATTTATCATAGGTTGGAAGATGTTGGGAAGACAGCAATGGACACATGTATACATGTATATGTAGCACTTACTCTGTTTTTTCGGGTCTCCTGAGCCCACGACCCTGTAAGCAGCACCATGCTCTCCAACAAAGCTGGTACACAAGCACTGGTCTGCCGGTTGAAGCACAGGCTCTGAAAGCTCTTCATGATAGCATAGCAATCACATTTAGAAAGTCCACTAGGAGGCCAACCCCCATCTCTTGTCACCCACCCAGACGTAGCACAAGAGTTTGGCTTCAGGATCTTCAGCTGGCTGGGTAGCTAAATGATCAATGAACCCACATTTTTTTGTAGGACTTTCTTTGCTGGAGGTTATTGCACTGCTCCTGATGCCACAAACATAGCATCCAATTCTTTATATAGGGCAGTGGTCTTCAATCTGTGACCGGAGGCCGGACGTGACCCTGTGGTTGACCTTATTCAGCCCTTGTGGCACTATTCCTCCCACCAATACAAGGCACTATTCCACCCACTGACACCAACAATGGAACACTATTCCTCCCACTGATACCAACAATAGGGCACTATTCCTTCCACTGACACAAATGGTAGGGTACTATTCCTCTCACTAACAAGACTGATGGGCACTATTCCTTCCCCTGATACCAACAATGGGGCAATATTCCTCCCACTGACACCAATGATGGAGCATTGTTTACTCCCACTGATGCCAGGGCATTTTCTACTCTTACTAGCCACAGTCCAGCTCCCTCAAAGGAAATCTTTGTTTAGAAGGTTTAGAGACCCCTGATCATGGGTATCATCTTCCTATATTAATCCCACCTTACTTGAACTTGCCTCACTCACCTTCCCCATATTTCCTTGCCTAATGCAACCATCCATATATTCAGTGCACAGCCGATATGTAGCAGTTCTACATGTGATTGCCCATTAGTCCCTATTGAACGAACAGTGCCTCAGCTTAATGGCAAACCTCCATACACCTTATCTTGGGTTTCTCACCAGATATTGTCCCTTTTCTTTCAAAGTCAACAAACCCAACGACTGAGAAAACCATCCTATGCCTACGTAAGCATCAACTTGTATGTTTACTTCCATACACAGGTCAGACTTGGTGTCCTATGCCAAACACTGCCAGGCCATCTTCCTA